TGTACAAAGGTCCGGTAGCGAAAGACGCTTAGAGAAACGAGAAGGAAGAGGGCGCAGACAAGTAGCGTGTTTCGCCATGGTTAGGCGTGTGGCTGGTCCACTACCTTCCAGAGGCGTTCCCGTGAACTTCCGATATAAGAAAGTGGCACGCTACTGCAGCTGCGAATCCATTCGCCCCACACACGGCGAGGAGCAGGATTCATGGAGACGAATGTACAATGAATGAATGTCCTCGAAGACTAACTGTACACTCAGCTCCGTGAGCCCTGGTCCTCACCATGTGGGTAAACTGATCCGCAGCTGCAGCATCGTGCTACTTTTTCGGGCCAAAAGTGCCCTGGAAACCCATTCGTCTCGCACATGGAAATGACTGTCGTCGGGGTGGTGAACAGTTGGCTTTGAGCTCATGCTGCATAGCTGCTGTTGCGCTCCTTCCGAGCGCAGAAATAAGTAAACGATTAAATAACTGAATAATCAGGTGAATATTGAAGAGTCCTGAGCAGGGAGTTTGAGGAAGATTGCTCAGTTGTTTCGATGGAACTGAGTTTTGCTCTCAATAATAGAAGCATGATAAGCTAACGAGCTCTTCACTCTGTCGAATTCTAGACTCCGCAATGAGTGTTTCACGCCCCTTTCAAATATACTAGTATTGGCATCTATGCTTGACTCCTGAAATGGGACACCCGTTAGAGTCGAAGCAGAACGACAGTACCGTATCCGGAGATACCGCGTGTGTGACTAGAGGCTGAAGCTGTGTCTTCGGTGTCGAGCGACATTCACGGACTTCGGTAAATGAGGCACTTCAACCTCAGAATCTCATGAGCTTTTCACTGAATTTTTGACCGTAAAGCTCACTCTGTGACCCCTCTCCCCCACCTCTCTCCGCTTTTTGCAGCAAGACCATTTTACGCTAAAAAAATCAATTCACCCTGCCTTCCTCAGCAAAATTGGCACAAAATCGTATATTTGTTTTACTCAGCGTCCTGACTACCATGATGGCAGACGTTTCAGGCATCGGAACCCTTTCATGCCGGTTTGTGTCGCGCTAACATAAGTCATTCTCGTCAAAAACGCTCCGTTAAGGCTGACCTCAGAAGTGTAGAATCGCTGCTTTGAATGGCGTCGGCTCCAAAAATGGATGTACTTTCGGGTCGTCTAATTACTTCCGAATGTAATTCTTTCGTGGAAAATTGAAGGCGACAAGTTGGAGCCGGCTTCATCCTGGCTCCAAATAGTGTTAGCGCAGAGAATAAGTTCCATACTCGTAATATAGAATTTGAGTGAAAGAAACTAGGTTTAAGTTCAGTAATATTTGGAACAATGTCATGGATGTTGGCTGCAGCATATGGTTCCTCAGGAGCAGTACTTGTCAAAGGTTGATACTTCGGCACAGGTTGTCGAAAAGACACGATAAGTGACTTTTCAATATACCAAAGATTGAAAATCATTCAGTAGTATATCAGTGACATGCGCAGCAATTCCACCTTTCTTTGGATTAATTTTGCATCCAGCAAAAACATTACAAGCTGAGACATATTCAGAAACGACGTCATTTGATCAGAGAGTTCTTGCGCTTGTTTAGGCATTTCCGGAGATCACACCATGTATTTTGAGACTTTCTAGCATACTGTTCTGATGCTTAATGTTCTGAAGACCAGTGATTTTCATGTTCATAACGTTGATGTGGACGACCTTAAAAACCGGATACCCCGCTTGCGCAAATTTTCATCGAACTAGCACTATTCAGCGCCTGGGATTTTCTGAAAAGAAAAATGTCTTTCTAGGGGGATACGTGTCCGAGTGATAAAAGTTAGCGGGCATTGTTGAAAACTGACATAATGAGGCAAACGACTTTTCGAGGTTAGGTGCTTCTTTCAGGTCGTCAGAAGGGGAAACAGAATCATACTAAAACTCATTTGAAGACGTTTATTTCATGAGACCATTTTGAAATTACAGTAGAATTTATTAGGTGTGTTCTATTCTCAAAGAATCGGAATAGATGGCTAAAAGCAAATATTGCATCAGATGAAGATGAGAATCTATTAGCGCCGGGTTCCGTCCTCGAAGAACACTCCACCGTCGATTGCACAATACTTGGGGCAAATTCCGGGTTCTCCAGGATTGCCTGGTGGTCCAGCTGGTCCAGGTGTACCTGGATTTCCATCAGCTCCAGGTTTTCCATCTGGACCGGGAGGTCCTTTTGGTCCAGGTTGCCCTAAAAAGCATCGACATCAGTTTGAAAACATCATAGTCAAACTTGCTTGCAGCTCAAATTTTACATACCTGGTGCGCCATCTGATCCTGGCTGACCGGGTGCTCCTGGAGGTCCCTGTGGCCCTGGTTCTCCAGCTGGACCTGGCTCTCCTGGGATAAGTGGTTCTGAGACTGCATCCACTCCTGGTTCTCCAGGTGCTCCAGGCGCTCCAGGGTTTCCATTAGGACCAGGTGGCCCTTTCGGTCCAGGTTGTCCGGGAGGCGCATCATTTCCAGGAGCTCCTGGTGCTCCGTTCGGTCCTGGTTCGCCTGGAGGTCCCTGAGGACCTGGAGGTCCAGGTGGTCCTTGTGGGCATGGCTTGCATGGAGGTGGAGTGATGGGTTCACATGGCTGCTGAGGTGGACGACCTGGATTTCCAGGAAGACCAGGTGCGCCTGGCTTGCCGGGACGCCCTGGTTTCCCCGGTGCTCCAGGAGGGCCTGCCGGGCCTGGAAGGCAGCAAGCTTCACAAGCATTCGCTCCCACATTAATTTTGGAGGATCCTTCAGTTATAGCTGCATCTCCGTAGCCGGCCTGACGAGCGGTACGGTTGGACGGAACATTTTTGAGACTGTTCACTTCACTCCAAATATCTTTGGCTGACCCCTGGAAATGGCACAATCAAACAGCAAATCAGCATCGAAAAACGAATGGTAAGACGATTCTCCAAAAATGCAATATAACTTACTTTGCAGTAATTGATTTCTGAATGCATAGATGTCTTCACATGATGTACATAGTTGTAAACCATGGGGAGAGTAACACATACTGATAGAACAGCCACAACAGAGAAAGTGACAGCCGAATAGGCTACGAAACGGTACGCTTTAATCCGCTGCTCTAAATCCATTGGACTGAATGAAAGGTGTCGAACAATTCTACACATTCACCTCGTCTTAAATACCCAATAAGGTGTTTCCTGTCGTCAGTGGGCGTGACATCGGCATCCCTGTTGTCAGAAACCGGACCCAAGTACGTGGTTACCCAGTGTATGTCCTCCGTGCGCTCAAGACTAGCACTCTTGGTCAGATCTGCAAGCGGACGTGGACTGATACTCGGACTTAGCGCAGCTTGGATATCGACTCCTTACGCAGTTTCTGATCAATCGCCCCTTCGCTTCTATTGTTGTCTCGGCGTGGTCGAGAATCATCTAGGGTAGCATTTAAATAGAAACCACTGCCTTCTTCTATACATCGAACATGCTAATGAGGGAAGAACAGTGTTTTCGAAAGCAGATATCCTCCTCCTTCTACTGTGTTTAGCCACCAAAAGAGGCCCATTGTTTTACTTAGTTTTCAGTAGAACTGGAAATCCGGTTTTCTCGCTTTGTTGAATACCGTTGAGGATTTGGAACGTTGCCCAATAATCCTGAGGTTGGTTCAGTAGAGCAGCGATGAGTCCACTAGTTGCAGTTCGGCGATGGAGGGGAGGGGGAGTGGGGAGCATTCTCCAATTTCGCTGCTTCACTAGTTCTGGTTTGCAAGCCTCACCATGGTAAAACCTATGAACTCCTATGAATCTGGAGCCAGCTCGTCAAGCCGCCATCCGGTAGAGTCTGTCATCTCTTGTAAGCTCGCGAAATGGTTCTCTAGATGGGTCGACACATCGATGGGACGTAGCAAAAGTGCTAAATGCCCCTCATCGCCGAACTGCCCCGTCACATGCTCCATTTATGGATAAAGAAGAGTTGGAACTAAGAATCAAGAAGGTCTGCTTTGAGAGATAGTGACTTCTGCAGTTAAGAAGACCGAAACGTTATTGTCAAAGCAGTGATGAAAGTGATGCGACTCCAAATTACGAAGTGCTTTTGGAAGTGGTTTCGTGGCTATTGCAATCAAACAAAACGACTTTCCTTACTAGGTGGTGTTTAGGTCACACATAAAAGGCTTTTTTCGGAAGGATCTTTTTGCGCTGTAGGGTACTTCGCATAAAGCAAAAAAAGTGAGGAACCAACAGTGCCAGGTAGGGTCAGCAGATGGTTAATGGTTTGATTCTCTACGGTGACCAATTTGGTTGTCTTAAACTTCCTTCCTCTTATGCCTGGATAAATTTGGAACGTTTCTTCAAACAAAAGGAGTTCGAAACTCTTGTTTGAACAATGAAATCTCCATGAAGGCTTCGACATGATTGAGCTATGGACCTTACACTAACACTGCTTATGAAAGCCCATTTCATTAATGCATAGGACCAAGCGGCGTCGCGCGCGACAAATGCAAAATGTATGGTTGAGATCAACTCGCGATGGTTTCGTTATTGCGACAGTGATTCGTTGCTTTTTTTTCAACGAAACAGTCCGCCGTACCTCAGCAATGCGAAAATCAGTGCAGCCTCTGCGACTATACTTTCTATGAAGCAGTGCGAAGTCAAATCGGGAGTTAGGGACTCATTATCACTGCTGCAAACGATACACAATGCAATGAGGTGACTGAAGTAGCCTGTCTTTGAAAAAGTGCTCTTTTCCTTTTTCCAGCCACTGGAGCCGCTAGGCAGATCGCTCTGAAAAAGCACTCCATGACTTTGGATTCCTCTTGTTAGAGACTGTGATTTGCTCCACTAAAAGGAAGCTGTCCCAGAGACAAGTCGCCGCAATTTGAATCTCGAACGTTTTTCACCAGAACGTTGAATTATGGAGAAAAGGGCCAGCTGGAATGGAACGTGTGTCCCGTGGGCAAGTCTGCTAACGATTTTAGCCTTGGCGCTACAATAATGACACATTTGCTCTGGAGGGTGAGATCAAGGTTCGAGCCTTGGTCATTAATCTTTTGGCTATTTACCAGCAATTCTTGTAAACATTCATAAACTCTGGCATAGCAGTTATACAGCAAGTGACATGATTTTTTGTCATTCGCTGAATTGTGACGAGTACTTCAAGTGGAGTCTTGCGCTACTCATCGGTGCATGAAACTGTTCAGTTCAAAATTTGATTTGAAACTGACAAATTTGGGCGCGATTGTTTTTGTGTAACATTTTTTTTTCAAGTCGTGACTCAGAAATCAACGAAAAGCGGAGCCTCCCTCTAAGATTCGTGAACTACATTCCATTGTTGTATACTCTTACTCAACTGTTCTTTGATTCCTAGTGCACGCTGCAATAGCAATGACGCACACCCATCCGAGGATATCTTCCCAGTGTAACTAATGCACTGCTCGAGAAGAGAGCTGATTCACGAGTGTGACCGAAAGTTCATCAGCTGCAATGTTCATCTGACTCGGCGCTGATATTTTGATTAATGTGGATTGTAGTCCACATTAATCAAATCTCAAGGCCAGTCAGAATTGAACATTGCAGCTGATGAACTTTCGGTCACACTCGTGAATCAGCTCTCTTCTCGAGCAGTGCATTAGTTACACTGGGAAGATATCCTCG